CTTTGAATTCTACCTGAAATTAAAATCTGTGTCAAAGTGTGTCATTATGTTAAATTTTCTTTTAGCACACTGGTTCTTCATACGTTAAGCGACACACCGTTAGGTGGCCCGCCGATGCGATTGATCGTCAACATCTGGTCTATGCAAGAGCTCACTTTGAGTGTGTGCGTTATGGTTGGTCGGAAAGCAACACTACTTCTAGGCCTGTTGTCAGGTACGCATGTTTTAATGACGTTAATATTGTTTTTCTCTACGTTAACGTAGCAAGCGCATAGGCTGTAAGGCATATGTGGTAATTCAAACCTACAAAGGTTGGGTAGAGATATTTCACCTAAACATGCAACACAATCATGAGATTAATCAAGAGGATGCTGGTCACTCTACTCGGCAATCGCGTCGGATTCAAACAAACAAGCAAGCAGCAACTACTACCACTACTGACAGTGGAAGCAGTGGGAATTACACATATTTCGGTGCTCCAAGTAAGGTACAAACACAATATTTATAAAAAGCAACAAAAGTAACCCATATAAGCAAATTTTTACTTAAAGCTAAAGGAATTGGATCTTCAACAGAATGTATGCAACAGAATGTCCTTCGGCGATTACAAGGACCGACAGCAAAGCCGGAGGAGAGTCTAAAGGAAGAGGACTACTTTGCATCAAAGGGAAATACCGAGAGAGTAGTAGTAACAACACAGTCAACTGAAAGAGCCCAGACAATGACGGCAGAGGAGGCTAAATTGGCATTGCTTGACTCACAGCTGGAGGCGGTGCGAAATTTGGCGATCACAGAGTATGGTCTGGTAGGGACAAATGGAGCGTGCAGCGAAGTAGCACTCGCCATGTGCGAAGAGCTCAAGCAGATGGAGGCAGCCTGGATACGCTGTCTAGCAGAAACAGAGGCGCAGCAAGAAGCAGCGCCAATACTACTAGAGTTCGCCAGTGCATCAGCTACAGATCCAATCACCACAACGGCTACCGTAAAACTCCATGCGAGACAGGTATAAAGATTATTACTACTAAATAAAGTAATTTTATAAATAATTGTAAAAATGAAATAAAAACTAAAGTAAATGCTTTATAGTGTTGAAAAATTGATGAGACGTGGAGAGGGATGGAGGAGGGTGTGGGTGGCGTGGGTTGTGGTGG